AAATTGGTCATGTGACCAGGACATAAGGGTGTCCAGGGACTCCAGGGGATTAATCATCAAATTAATCCTTATCAGCTAAATACCACAATTAATCGTGATTTATTTTTTTGCCAATATTGACCAACCCTAAATACCGACACTAAAAACCAGTACTGATACTAAGGACTAAATACTGACACTATACAATAAATACTGACATAAACACTAAATATTATATACTGACACTAATTACTAATACTGATACTAAAGACTAAATTCCAATACTAAATACTAAATATTATATACTGACATCTATACACTAAATACTGACAATAAACACTAAATAATATTAATATTTAGTGTTTATTGACAGTATTTAGTGTGTAGCGACTGTATTTAATATTTAGTATTTAGTGTCAGTATATAATATTTAGTGTTTAGTGTCACTATTTAATGTTTTGTGTCAGTTTGTGGTATTTAGTGTCAGTATTTAGTATTTAGTGTCGGTATTTAGTGTCAGTATATAATATTTAGTGTTTATGTCAGTATTTAGTATAGCGTCAGTATTTAGTCCTTAGTATCAGTATTAGTATTTAGTGTCAATATACTGGCACTAAATACTAAATACTGACACTAAATACTAATACTGATRCTAAAGAATAATACTGACACAAAATACTAAATACTGAGCATCAGGAACTGGAACAAGGTCAGTAGCGATGTGAATTTTAGGCACAGCTCTTCAAATTAATCTGGTAATTATACGGCTTTTCTTTGAATGCTTGAACTCAGTTGTTTCCCTTTTCTTGTTTTGTCTGTCTGTCTGTCTGTCTGTCTATTTGTGAAGATGCACCCTGACTGGATCAGTACCGTTAAGAAACCTCTGCTCCAACCAGGCGTAAAGGGAATAAAACTCACCTTTTAAAATTCTAATCTAATCTTTAAGTTGTAAATAAAATAAGCGTGCAGCGAGACGCAGCTGATGATGTAAACCTCTGTTTTCTACATGAAAATATTTTAGTTAACAAGAATCYTTTCTAGTCCTGGCTGAGATCAGGAAGCCCCTAGTCCTGTCAGAACTGAACTCTATTCCTCCAAACATCTACAGCAGGTAAGATATTTACTCTTTGAATGTTTTTCACAAGGCATATTCTTTAACTTCCTATTTAAATGTTAATTTTATTGATGAAGATTCAGTAGAAGATAAAACAATGTTAGCCTGAGCTAGGATTTAGTTCTGCACTGCTCTTCAAAACCTGACAGTTTGATCTGACTTGAGGAACCTTAAACTTTCACAAATTTATCATTTCCACATGCAAAACACACACACACACACACACACACACACACACACACACACACACACACACACACACACACACACACACACACACACACACACACCACCTCTCTTTGCAGCAGGACAGAAAGCTCTCCTGTTCCACTGGAGCCGTCCTCCATGCAGCTGCAAACAGCAGGAGGCTGACCTGCTGTCAGAACAGCCTGAACCAGARCCACTGCAGGGCCTTTATTAGAACCCATCCCACATGAGCCTGAACCAGAACCACTGCAGGGCCTGCATTAGAACCATCCCACAGTGGACACCTCTGCCTGATCAGGTCACAAGCTTTCATTTTCCACGGGAGCATCTTTAACCCTGCTTCTCATTCAATGAAAATCTAATATTTAGCTGCTTTTTAATAGTGACATTAAAATGACGTCACTAACCAGCATAAACAACACAGAGCAGATCCAGACGCAGTAACTTACTGACCTGTAATCTAAAACAAGTTAAATCTGATGAGGCAGCTCTGACAATGATCAATAATCAGTCTGAGCATTCAGACAGGAACAACAGGATCTGCAGGAGAATGGGCTCACCGGTGCTGCTCATGGTACCAGGCTGAGGATGCTCAGTAAACAAACCACTGACAGCTCCCGGATGGTGCCAGCAGCAGCCTGCAGAGGAGACAGGCTGGTCCCGGATGGTCCTGGATGCTCCTGGATGGGGGTCTGCTGAGGCCGCACAGTGCTCCACCAGCAGAAGACTGCGTCCTGCGTCTGTTCCACTGCAGAACAGCTCCGGCTGTCTGAGCAGCTGCAGGTTGGGTGTGGGCGCACAGTGCACGAGCCACTGGAGTCAAGCTCCACTCAGGAGAGAAGCGTTTCCACTGTGGCCTTTCAAAATAAAAATCAGTTTAAAGGGGATTTCAGAAAGGAGAACTGCAAAAACTAATTTAAAAAATAAGGCAGACAGTTTCTAGAAGGAATCAGTGTACCTTCAGAAATGTTTTAATGAGGGGGTGGGGGGGTTTTTCCAAGGGTGGC